GCTGTTGGGTTTTCCGCCATGTAACGAAAATATGCTTCCTGCAAATAATGCAAAAAATGATTTAGATCAAAACAAACAGCAGCAGGTCTTTACTGCTGAATATCAAAAACGTCATCTAAATGTTGCCATAGACTGCATCGAAATTAATTTGTCTAATAAAACATGGCATGTAAAAAAAAAAATGATGTTAAAGAAATGATTTAGAATAACTAATTAAATAGTAAGTTCTGAAACCAACAACTTACTGAGCACTGAGGTGGTGTCAATGACATTAAAATTCATTTTAATTGATCACTGCTATTTTAACACATAGCACTGACTCAAATCTCACGTTTCAGTCACAAAAGAATCACTCTTCCTGGAAACATTTAAAGACAATAGATAATAACTGAGAACCAATAAACTGGTTAAGAAAACAAGTCTGAAGATTGCATATAAAACCTTAAAAACAACACCTACTCCATCACCAAAAGTACATTTGAATGGCTCAGTCTGTAAACTGATGTAGATATATAGAGAATATAAGAAAGAAAAATAGAAAGAGGAGTTAGGCACAGTCATTGCTGTGGCAAAGATACAGTGGCGGTAGTAACTTCAAGGGGGTCACTCACTTGGTCATCCTCCTCTTCAATGTCATCCCGTATACCCCTGGAAGAAACAAGCGGAGAAAAAAAAACTTCCCTGCGACTCGCTCAATCACCCATGGAAATCCATATTCTACCCATAAACCCCCTTCCATTCCCATCCTCTCTGCTATAAATATTATTGGATGAACGGTCTTAGAAAAATTCTGTGATAATATCAGAATCTTACTTGGCTAACTTTTTCTCTTTTTCCTTTTCTTCAAGTTTCCTCATGTCTTTTTCTGCTTGGTCCTGAAAGAAGACAAAAACAGGAATTAAAGCAAAACAGCAGCAATGTCCACTGCCTCTTCTCAAAGAGATCACTTCAGGAGCTCTCACCTCCACCTCAGCCATAAAAGCATCAAGAGGGTCATCCTCACTGTCGGAGCCGCCGCCTCCTCCTCCTCCTCCTCCTCCTCC